GGTCGTAACCCGAAAAGTTCGTTAGTAGAGGCGTTCATATCCCGAGGTACCACTGTATATGGATGAACTTGTTCTACAGAAACCTCCATGAAAAAAGTAATGTCCCTCCCTCCCTGAAAAATTGCCAAGGAGTGTGTTTTGTACAGTAAAAATACAATATTTTTATAATACATCTATTTCAGCTCAGCCCTAGCCATTACTGAGACTCACTAAAGCTTTTGTTTTCAACAGGATTTGCCAATCTATATACATCTATTTAGGTCTACTGCATTCAAAAGGTCTTATCCCCAGGTAAATGTACAGTGGATTGCAACTGATGTCATAGCTAATTTTAACTGAATCAGGGCTGTGGGTTGGCACCTGTCCTGCCTACTAGCATATCATAATTAAACAACTTAGAAGTCGATTAGACACACACACACACATTACTTAAATTCAATAGTGGGGGACCAAATTTGGCTTTCACTGTATTTCATAATAAATATAATAAATAACACTTGTTTCAATATGCAGACTTTGTTTCCAACTGTTTTCATTTGTTTTCTGTTAATTTTTTTTCCCCTGTTAAATTTGCTCACCAGACCCAAATGTTGTCTTGCCTTACATTTGATTCTGAGACCTTGCTGGACCCCTTTCAGCGAACTTAGCCATCCAAGTGATAATAATTTTATCTAGTGGCTCATAACAAACTGCTGCTGTAACAGCCTGACCTTTAGGAAATTTAATGTCCTTTAGCAAATTTAATCTACTAATACTTAGAGGTTTCTCAGCAGACAGTTAGTGGGAAAACATTCCCTATTGGTGAAACATTTGCAGGACAGTAACCGAAGCTAAACAGCTCAGCAAGATTGAGACAGAGACAACATTTAAGCTGGAACTCCTAAGTAGTATAACATTGATTGATTGAATTTCTAGACTGACTAGCTCCAAAAGGACTTCCAGCAGCTTCAGAAAGGTTTTTTTTTTAAAAGCATTATTTAAAAACAGCAATTGTCCGATGGAACAAATTAAGATCCCTCCACAGCACACCTCAATTTAAAGAGGCCTGCCCAAACATCCTAAATGAAGACCTGTGGGGGGGGGGGGGTAGACAGTTTTTAAAGATTGCTTGAAAGGGGGCAAGGTAGGCACCATATAAATCTCTGGGGGGATGCTGTTCTAAAGGTAGGTGCAGTGGCAAAGAAGGCCTGTCTCCAAAGTCCTACTAGATGACAATACGGAGACAGTGGTCCCTCAAATAGCTAGATTCTATGCAATGTAGGCCTTTAAAGGTGATAGCCAGGAAATAGTCTTCAATAATAGGTGGTTAATATATAGGACACAACCAACCAGTTCAATAAGTGAAGCTCATTTAGAATACCAAAGCTTTCCTTCTGAGTTTCCTTTCAAATGGAATTTAGACACAGGTTAAAGGTAGATTAGCATATTAAAAAGCAGAGACGTCACCTTGCCGACAAAGATCCGC